AGCTAGGCGAAGGAGTTAACTCATAAATTGCAAATAGTAAAAATTATTCATAGGTTCAGAATTACAAACCTACTTTTTATGTAAGCTTTTATTTCCTTACCCCCTCATTTTAACGACGAAAGTGTGTTTTGATGGGGATGACGGCTCCACACACTCCACAGAATGTCTAAGAAAATGTTTCAATCCTACGACTGAATATTTTGCCATACTTTACAGCATTACGTTGGAACGAAAATAAAAATTTTGTGATGCTGTTGCTTCCTAACCACACAATCTGTGAAGAAGATAGTATAATTACTGAGATGATTGGCATTCAAAATGTAATACTTAGAGAGGGTCAAAAATGGTGGACGAGGCGTCGACGGGTAGAAATTGCATGACTCAGTCATGCAGGCGTCGTCAGCCTGTGTAATCATTTGTTTTATGTATTGAATATGTTACTCTCTACTCAGCCCAAATATATCCTTAAAAAGTATCAGACGTTATGTTGTTGGTTCTCACGATAAGATGAGTCAGTTATGACTTTGATACGACTTCCACGTAAGGTATAATAGATTATTTATTCGCATCATAACATATTTAAACTTTTGGGAGTGGGTCTTTTATTATATTGACAAGGACAAATTTACTTGCAGCGAATTAAGTCCTAATATTACACTTTTGTGTTCGGTTGGCCCTTGTCCCTAACAAGCAATTCTCAAAAACGCAATGAAACGAGCCTTCGCGAAAGCACTTTTGTGCTTTTGTTGGTAGCCTTAAATCCTCGCGCTTTCGTCGAACGATGGGTACCATTTTCGACTGCCCTTCAACCATCACTACAGACCGCGGACGCCAGTTCGAATCTGGACTTTTCCGTTGTCTGGCCTCACTTTTAGGAATCACGCGCTTCCGAACGACAGCATACCACCCACAAGCAAACGGGTTGGTAGAACGTTTTCATCGACAACTTAAAGCTTCATTATCAGCTTCAGACGTTTCACAGTGGACAGACGATCTTCCACTCGTCTTGCCAGGTATCCGCAATGCAGTGAAAGCTGACATTGGATACACGGCATCTCAACTCGTTTACGGAACGACACTCCGACTCCCAGGAGAATTCGTGGATCCTTCAGCTTCTTCATTGAACATGGATCTAAACTCTTACACGAGTAGGCTTACAAACGCTATGCGTTGAGTTAAACCTGTTCACACTCGACCTCAATCAACTGATGTTTTCGTTCAACCCGATTTACGACATAGTACACACGTCTTCGTTCGTCGAGACTCACATCGACGACCCCTCGAGTCAGCATACGAAGGACCCTTCAAAGTTCTTCAACGCGAGCCCAAGTACTATTTAGTCGATAAGAAGGGTACGAACGATAGCATCAGTATCGATCGACTCAAAGCAGCGTACTTAGAAGAAAACCCTAGCTACGTCGAATTTCCTTCGGTACAGTCGTACGACACGGCTCCTACACTCGTAGTACCATACACGACAACCGACACACAACTTGATACTTTGTCAACGTCGATAGATAAACCTAAAACAAAGCGTTCTGGACGACGAGTAAGATTTCCAGAACATCTTAACGACTATTGCACGTAGGACATAAGCTTTATCTTGAATTACCCTTTCATAGTTTATTATAAAAAAATTTTTTAATATGCTCATTTTATTTATTTATATAAAAAACAAAACATTATTATTTTTTTGAGCGTATATATATATTTTATATATAAAAAACCCATTTTTTTCCGATCGCTTTTACGCTGTTTGTAAGTGTATTAGTTTATTTTTTCCGCTCATCTTGTGTCCTTACGCAAGTACGAGTGTATTTTCGACATGCACTCACACGTTCTATTTTTTTCTCTTTTCCAGGATGGCTGGAAATGAAAGACGAAGTTTCGCAAGGAACCAAAATTTTCATTGTACTATATTTCTTTATTCCTCTGTTGTACATTTTGTTCCCTTAGTTTAAGGAAAGACGACCAGACGCTGCTAAACGAAGCAAGCTATCAGAAGAGTGTTTACCAACGACAAACTCATTGGATTTAAACTTCTGGCCGGTCACGTCTTAGGGGCATCACTACCTCACTAGGGGAGGAGTGATCTGTAGCTGTAAATAATTCCCCAAAACCAATGACTTTCTAAGTGTTCAATATTGGATGCTGACCACGTTGTTTAAGTGGACTTGTTTTACTGAAGGCTTTCGGTCATGCATCCGTAGCAGGTCATGTTGCAACACGGCGTGGGGCACAGCTCCTATGTTCATTAGCCAGCTTATAATAAAGGTTCCTCGATATATTGGTAACGTATCAAATATATCTTTCTTACCTCTCCTCGTCTGACTTCTGGTTTCTATTCGACTGGGAAAGAACGATTATAGAAGATACTACTGGTTGCTAGTTGCCAAACTAGAATCTCCGTTGTATCCTCAGTACGAACTCACAACAAGATATAGGAGACAAATTCAAATGCTTTCAAGTGAACTATAACCTCTTGCAGTATAGGTTTACGCAATATATGATTCACTCTTAAAATATGATACTGAAAGTTTGTTTGCATTTTCAACTCTTCAATTTCTGTATAATTGGCTAACTAGAAAATGAAAAGTGTAGTGGTTTTCTATTCAAAGCCTAAATCTATATGGACATTGTTTTGATATACTAATAATGGCAGCGGCTTTTCGAGTTCCACATTTTGCCATTAAGGTCATTCGATAATGGGACAGCTACACAAGTTAGATAATAGGATAGAGATACAACTGCAACGCTTTAATATCGCCCCTATTTCATAATTTTTTTCAGAACAGATTAGCTTCAATGATGTCAATATTTCGTTGTCTTCATGTATTTCTTTTTTGACGACAAACAACGGAGTTCAATGTTAGGTTTTCTTCTCAAACAAATAGGCAACAAAAGTATTTGCTTGCGAACCTTCAGATATACGTCTATACTGCTGAGTTCGACTGACTTCCAAGTCCACATATCATTCTGCCGAAATATATCAGCTTGATGTTGCATTAATAACACCAACATAAATGACGTTAACAAATGGAAGTACATTATAACCTGATTCAAAGTTTGTAATCGTTTCACTCAGGAGTTTCCTGCTACACCCACTACAAAAAGGTGAAAAGTGCATTCGTTGAGGATCATCATGATCTAGGTAGATAGCTGTGGAATCAAACCCTCTTTCGGAGCTTGCAATATTCGTGAAATCAACAGGTTATAGAAAATCTCTTGAAGATGAGGGTAGGTGTAGATTTTATTAGAAATGATTTTGTCGGACACTACTGTTTCTACACCCAATAAAATTAACAAAAGACGCCGAAATTCAGAACAAGTCAATAAAAATGTCCGTAAAATCCATTTAGTGGGCGAATTGGTATACGCAATGTGAAATATATATATGCTAATAAAAATATTGCTAGGAATTATCTAGAAATTCTAGACAGATTCCAGCTCAACGCATTCACACATTAGTTGGATATATGTTGGACAAGAAGCGGATGCTCTCACCTCATGAAAAATCCTAAAGAGAGCTAGCTACTTAACTTGAACCGTGACTCGATTGTCATCTATCGACGATAAGGAAGAATAACTAGCATTCGAGTTGGATACGTCAATAGGTACCGATGTTGTCGAAAAGGCCCATATTGGGAGATACTGAGATGATGTGTATGCTCGGACCATTTAGAGCCAGGTTATCCGGGTCCTTAGGAATACTGATGAGTCCTAACGATCACGCAGTTCAGAATAACTTCAGGGGGACTGCTATGGGCCGTCCATTTTTGTTTATTATCCAATCAGTTAATGTCTATTAGCATATTGATTGATTGTAGGTATTTATCCGTGAAAAGAACAAACGCTCTTTCTGTCGAAATTAGAGGCATCTTACTTGCTGAAAACCATGCTTACTAATTTTTTGGTATATTTTTGACCCATGCTTTGAACTTGATTTATCCGTAGTTTGACTCTAAACAGTTAGATCCTATCTTGTCTTAGTTTCGTATTATGGTTGTGAAAACCGAAAAATTACTACTTATAACAGAGTATTATTGTTTCCTATATTTTCAATAATATTTGGCGATTGAAAACTTGGAATGCCGGCCTTCTCGTTATTTGCTTAAAGGTTAAGAAGTAATTGGTCGACCGCGTTCAGAAGAGACGTAGGAAGCTATGATATGACAAAGTCGAATCAGTAGAATTGGGTAGCAGAGACTTTGAAATTGTACCCGTTAATTTCCGGACGCCTATTAACAAAATGTTGAAATTACAATTGAGTGTATTTAGGATATGTACGGGACCATCCTAAACCTAAACTAAGCTAACAATTTTTGGGTGTTAGACATCATTGAGACATGAAGAGATTAGCTTGAAAGCATAGTTGGCACCAAATCTGGGACATAATTGACAGGTCATTAGAAAATATACACAACAGCACGACCACATATTTATTGCTTCTGGTAGTAAAACTGAAAGTGCAGGAACATCATGACGTGGTAACATTGTACAGTGTGTCGAAAGAATTAGCTTGATCTAATTTATTAAAAAGGAGATATGATTCAAATATTAATAGTAAAATGAATTCGATAGTCACGGTCCACCAATAACTGAACTCAAAAACCGTCCGCAGTGAGTATACACATCAACATGGGTCGAAATCCACTGAGATACTTCACACTTTGTTCACGCAAAACAAAATATAACTCACAGTGACAAACCATTATCTTAAAAATAGCAAGCGAATTTGAGCAGCTTTATTAGTAGATCTAACAACATAAAAAATGAATAAATATTAAACGAATCCAGTCAATGGACAATGATCAAAGATTAAAAAAAACCCACTGAAGTAGATGGTGACTTGAGGGTTAAATAAATAAGTAAGAAGCATTAAATCACTAGAACTGTCCTGTAGATGATATAATTATAGCAGTTTAAAATTATTATCACAACATTTATGAGGATAAATTTAAGCAAACACATACAACATAGCGAAACAACAAAATCTGATTCTAATTATCCACTAGACTGTTGGAATGTTCGAAGGTAAATGGAACGAAAGGATAACCATCACCACTGTAGAATTTATTTTGAAACTCCACCCTGTTAAAAGATAAATAGTTTAGAAAGTTTATTTTCACGAACAGTACCCTGAGATGTATACACCTTTTTTTCAAGAGTAGAACAAATATATACAGTGAGCACAAGTTAACATAATTATAATTATAGTGACTACAGATTATTTGCGTTTACTCCGAAATCACATATCAGGTAGATCAATTACCTTGGTACAGACTATAAAGTTGAATAATTTTTAATGTAAAACAAACTACGAGACAAACGAAGTGATGGTCGTAAGTATTAATAAGCCACAGATTTGTGTTGATTCAAAACGTTATACCATATTGACAGGACAAAATGAAGCTAACAAGAACAACTACAAAAGAAATCCGAATATTGTAGTAACAATGATAAAAATGGAGGAGCCTGTGGAATTAATTTAGAAAAGACAGAATGAAAAAGTACGTATGGGAAATACTGGAATTCAAGATTGAGAGGAAGTGAATGTATCTAACATCGTGAACGAGTTTGAACCGCAATAGTCGGTGTATGACCACTGACAGAGGTTATTTGCATTTCATCAACATGACTCCTGGGTAACAGTCAATGGACTTCACGAGCTGCTGCCGTCTTTGGTTTTGCCAACCCTAGATTTCTTACAACCTACACCAGAAAACACCGTTGGTTTAGGTAAGTGGTAGTTGTAAATACGTAGCACATACTAAACACCTAAGCCCACAAAGATTCACTACATTATTAACAAATTTGCCACCATTCCCAAGTACATCATGATTAACCTAAACATCGGTTACTTGGTTATTGCAAATGTGAGCAATGCTTTAAAACAACAGCAACCTACGCATGTCTTTAACTCTAAAAGCAATGTTTCACACCAATGAAGTAATATACAGCGCGGACTGCTGCCCAATATAATTGTCCTTTGACTCGAAGACGAATATTTCACGTATCCCATAAGTTACCAAAATTCAATCGAACTTTCCAAATCCGTGCAGAGAATTCACCTGATATCAACATACCAGAGCTGATGAGAGCTTTAAAAGAAGTGAAGTGACCCACTTACTCAACTACTTTACCTATGATCACTAGTTCAAGAGTTACCACAAGTTAACCTTAAGGAAAAATTCTGTATTTAAAGGGGAAGACAGGCATCACAAGCAAGCTTCTAATGTCGTTATAGGCAGTCAAACGACTGTATTTTGTTGGCATCTTCACCAAATAGGAGTAAGTTACCCATGTATTCTAAAACGATAAGCGAAACTCGTGGAAGGAGGTACATCTCTGAAAAGTCACGTAAAGGAAGTGTTATTTCTGGGAAAGCACCAACGACAAAATAAAGATGTAAAAACTAGAGAAACGTGACTATTTATGGTCGAATGTCAATAAGTACGCTTAAGTTCTAAAATCTGACGAGGAGTGGATATTTAGTCAATACATCCAATGTTTAGGTCTGAAAACAGTGATTTCTTCAAGTTTACTCTTAACGAGCATTTTTTTAAGCGTCAGACGATTACAGATGATAATACTTCAGATATTATATTTCCCAAACTGATCCTTTCTTTAATCACATGGGGATTTTCGTCCTCTCTTCAAACTGGGACCACGGGTAAGTGAAACCAGTCAGATAGGAATAATTTCAGCCCCAAACTATACCTAGTATCTCAGTCGGCTAGGTGGTTACAATTAGACCATTCTTCCTAAGGATCTCTAGAGTCGATAGATCAGGGACTCCCTCTCCCTGTTGTATTAGAATAACTACAAACTTTTCAATCCCACTAAGATTTGGAGGACTTATATCAATCATAAGTACAAAACCATTTATGCGAAAAAATAAACAAGAGCTCTAAACGAAGTAATGAACTTACCAATGGAGACGAAGTGTATGGAGAAAAGCAGATAATCCTTCCATGCACAAAAGAATACTAACGGTTAGCACAGCCCAGAATGTAAAAATAAATGCTAACACAACACCGCCATATAGACCAGATATACGCAAACCCATTCTCATAACCATACTCCAAAGGACTTCCGACAATTCTAAGCAAGAGGAGTTGAAAATGAACTTCAAAATGCAATAATAACTTATACCAAGCATACAAAAGCAGATAGATACAAATTCAATGACAAAATATCAAATTTCGGAAAAAAGTAATAACGGCTACATTTCATACAAGCAAATAATATTTGGTGACTGACACAATTCACTTCTTGTTTAAAAGAGTGTAATTTGACAGTGATTCATGATGAACAGACTATTATCAAATAAAATCTGGTTGAAATTAAAGGTATCATTATGGAACCGTGTGCACAAACTATACCAAAACAATGGACACAGCGAAAGAATTGTGTAACCCATCGGGTCAGCAATAAAGACAAGAAAATCAGATGACTGAACAAGGTTTACATATAGCAGCTTTAAAAATTTAAGCACAATAAAGGTACTTTTGTTTTTGATTCGTTAGGAAATAAAACAGAAAGTCTATTTTTGATGTGGGTTCTAATACAGCTCTGAAAGTATTAGAACAGGGAACGTGACCAATACAATACTGAATAACTATTACCATACCGAAGACAAACAGCCGAAAATTTAAGGTCTGCGGGCGATAACGGACTGCCGATTATGCTGAGATGTGACAACAACAAATATTTGCTTCTAAACAACTAGTATCTCAGCCAATCCTGTTTTTCCACAGCGAAAGGGTTTAGAATAGGAAGGACCACGGATTAGCACATCTTGTTTAACAGATTTTCATACCAAGCAACAAATTCCGAAAGAAATGGCATTAAAATGATAAACAACTAGCAAAAAGGCTGCGTCCCCAGTATTAAACAGTTGTCTTTTGGACAAAGAGGTTGCACGACTAAACCAACAAGACCACCGCTGGTTTAGTCTCTATTTAAGATACCATAAGAAGTATCCTTTAGCGATGTGAGCAACCGAGTAGTAACAGCTAACAACATATCAACAGCACTCTAGATAATCCTATTCACGATCACTATTTTGATTACTTAATATTTCCTCTACCTTTAATATCCGAAAATTCTCCTATAGATTCACGCACCAAAAATGCTCACGGAACGTTATTCGTGGTTTTCTACAAATGAGCTCTAAACTAGGTATTGGAGTTTTCAATACCTGAGTCTTGTATGATGCGAAAAACCCACACCAGGGAGCCCCTTAAGGTTTATTATTATAATGAAAAAGCCAAGAGTACATTTCACAAGGAACTATGGAAGTAAAGTGATCTCAACCTTAATGTAGGGTTACACGATAACCAAATAGCTGTGAAAACAGTAGTGACGTCTACCAGTGGCTTACACCAGAAGGATAAGAAACATCAGTGGATTTGTGTGCATACACTTAATTGAGGAACCCTTGGTAACCTAAAATTTTATCAGGCTCTAAATACGAGAAAGAGTTAAGGTAATTTAAATGTAGAATGACAAAGAGTCCACATAATAGCCGTGAGCATTGATAGGCAACGAAAGCAAGAGGTAGCTTTCAGATACGCTTTAAAAAGTAAAGTGTTATTAAAACTATCTTTGAAAAAGACAAGACTGCATAAAACCATGAACATTTTGAATGTAACACTTACGCGCATGTGCTAAACTCAAAGCCCATAGACGAAGATAAGAAGCTGTGTTGGAAATGCAACCTAAGCAAAACTCAATCGTATGAATGCTTTGATGGACCATTATATCTCCGAAATCAAACTGAAATACATAGAAATAAATGCAACATACCCGTATAGTTATACATTCATTTGAAATAAAAAATATAACATTTTAGGACAACAGATACAATAGTTACACAACGAAAATGGAAGGTGCTATTTCAAGTTAGTGATACACAACACAATAACAACTACATGAAAAATCCTTTGCCAGCTTAGTTACATCCTAGCCTGTGGTTTACTTTATGCTCTTATTATACAAAAAGGGTAGTATACTAATTTTAATCGTGAATCGATTAAATAAAACCTAAACACAAGAGTTAATTATTCACTCCCTAATACGGTAACCATTTATTAGAATCCCAACAGGTTATACAAGTTATAATATACACGTGAAAATTTTATGCACGACAACGAAGATGCATTCAAAAGTGATAACAAAGTGAACACACAACACTTATCATCAGTTAGTGAACCGCAGTTAAGATACTTACAGACTCCACAGGCATATCCATCGAACCTATACCACTCCCATCACCAAGACCATTGCCATCTAATGCTATTTTTTCGGATGATTTAGTTGACACATCAGGATGAGTAACAGGGCCACGAGCCTCATGAACGCACAATTTTTATTTGTTTTGTTGAGTAAATTTTTGGAGACGCATTAAATTTTTAAATAAATGGCAAAAACATAAAAGAGTTAGTAAACAATAAGGAAGAAAAATATTTTTTAAATTCTCACCTTATGAACATCATGACTACCTGGCGAATCTGTTTGACTAATAAGTGAAACCTTAGAACGTTTTTCAGATGATGATCTATGTAATGGAGACATGTCACTGTACATAATACCATTATTATCACCAATGAAACTATCATCCATATTCGGATTTGTTACACCACCAACGACCACATGCACACTTGCATCAGGATCCACATAATGTCTATTCTATTTCCATAAAATAAGTTTAAGTGTTTTACAAAGTAAAAAGAGCAAAAGTAAAAACAACGTATGCATATTAATTACAATGAAAGTAAATTTCAGTGTAGAATTGATAATTAGACTACTGGATAATACTTGATATGATAAAATTTCTCAGTAGGCCCAATTTAACTTTATATAAATTGAACATTATAGTGTACTCTGCAAAATATCATCAAACTAGTACCTAATGATATACCACCACTGAATATGTACTTCCTTGGAAATTCTCAAGTAATTATTGCTTTCTTTTCATAAACACTCTAAATATGTTTTGAAAAATAACTACAAGTACAGTGAACACGCTAAAACGCACAACTTTAAAGGTCTCAATAACAAATAAATTACACTGATCCGTCTGCAACTAAGCACTACATTAGATTTAGTCGACATGCTGAATACTTTTATGAGTTAATATGAAACGTCTAGATCGATGGATTACTATTTATTTATAGGTCGCACACTTACACACTCGTTACTCGACGTATCAAAGTAAAACCGGATTCATAAGATTAATGAAATGATAAAAAGAAAATATAACTAGTGTTGTAGATATGAAAATGATCAGATGATAATTGAATCATTTACAACGCAATATTAGAAAATAACAGATTCCCTATTGATATTTGTTTATCAAGATTTAATCGGATTCAAGAATATGCAGTTAACACTGTCGTCAACATATACAAGGGAAATAGAGAATGAGAGATGAAGATTAGAAATGAAATTCTAAAAGGTGAAATTTTTCAACCAAAGAATGACAAATAATTAACAACAAAAACAAATGTTTACAGACAAAATCGTATCGCCATAATTTGAAGATAAGTCAATCAAGATTCCCACCATATATAGATAGGTAGATAATACGACAAACACAAAATACTTAAATTTAATTACCTTCAAGATGGCACGATGACGCATATACAAAATTAAGGGTTTAGACAACAACATCCAAGGAACACATATAACTGCAACAACCATCAGTATACTTTGAACAGCTTTCTAAAATTAAGAGTAAGAAGTGCAGTGATAGAAAAAAGGAACAAAATCATGCTTATATCATCGACATTTAAACGATCTAAGATTAATCAAGTCAAGAGACAAAAACAATCACTTCTTAGTGGAAATATATGAGAAAAAGCAAATAATTGCATGTCGCTTTGTCTTGTTACGCATCAATGGCATATTAGGCAGTGTAAAAATCATTGAACAATATATTACATTATGAGATACACTCAAACAGATAATGCTTACGTGTTTAGTACAGCCACTCACTAAATTCGAGGTCTAGTGTCTTGAAGTTGGGGTAAACTGCAATGCTGTCGCTGTTGTACTGCTTCCATTTTAGAAGTACCGAACAGTGACCTTAGGTAATAAGTGAGAACGGCAGAACAACTACATATATCTCCCTACTTGTCTGATAATGACACCGAGATCGCAGGATGAGTTAACCAAACCAATGACTTCTTTTCATATCTATTAACGCAGTCGCGCCCATGGAGAAAGTTACATGGATAGATAATCGAAGAACTGACGTTTCTGTGCTCATGAATATCTAGTATGGGCTAAAGATAGGCGTAAGTGTCTGTTAACAGAAGCAAACATTGACCAGTTATCCTCCCTCGTCTACCACTTTCAAAGTATTTTGACTAAACTGATCCTATCAACAAGCAGAAACGATTGAAACACAAAGACTCTTGAGCTTTGAATTCCAAAGAAACAGGTTCAGTCACTTCTAAATTAACCGACCCAACAACATAACAACCACTTAATTATAAAATAAACCGGCATTCTTCACATGCATATATTTCCCTCAACATTGAAACTCTGACAGCTTGGATATCGATAAAATCAAAGGTGAATTTCATGGTTCTTAACACTCAAAAATACTTTATGAATGAAATGTAAAACTTATTGTTTTATGTCTTATAATAAACGTAAATAACTCATGTAAACGGTTTTTTTTGACATCTCAAGTGTACAGTAATTAATAGAGAGTTTATGGTATACAATCTTACACATTACTAAAAAGAAATATATCTAAGTAACTGTCTTAAACATGCTACTTTTTATGGTTCATTATCAAATGTAATAAGCAATGCTTTTATGAAATTATTTGATTAAACAAGCACCTAAATTATCATTCAGTTGTAAGGGTTTAAATATACTTGTCGATGATGTTAAGGACTGCGATTGATCAGTCTCTTTTGGTATAAACGAACCCTGAGCCGATTACCTTCATACTGCGATCAGTTGAAAGCATTTACAAGCAGAGATTAATACATGAGAGGATTCAAACCCTTAAAAATGAATTATAATTCTTCCATATTGCATAAGCCAGTGGCTCAGTAACTAACTGTATAACACACCAGTAACTGAAGCGGAAGGGACTGCGTTCAAGCACTGAGAATGAGCATCAACACTGAAACGAAGGTAAATCCAGTTAACGAGTCCCATGTAGGGACGAAACCCGCGTTTCAATTCTCACGACCAACCACTGTTCATCCCTGTTTATAAATTGGCATTGTTCTAAATCTGCAATTTTCGGTATCCAACTCAACGCCCTAGTTAGTTATTGAGCGTAAACTGATGTTCAAGTTAAAAGTAAGCAACTGAGATCCACAACAATATCTCAGAAAGCGAATACTAATCGAATGGAAAGTAAGAACATCGTGCTGTTTGGAACTCATAATCTAGGTTTTCAAACACAGTAGTGAAACTCGTGAATGTAATTTCTTTGGTCCTTAATTTAAATTAGATATGAAAATAAATTCCATAAATGTGCTTGTTAAAAAAGGTGAGAATATCTGGGATGTAAACCATAATGATGTATCGGGTACTGAATACTAGGTATGAGATTTTTTACTAACAGAATTATCAGTCATTATCGACTGGTTGTTATGATCCACTGAAAGTGTCAGCGATTTTTTTAATAATTAAGCCCGAGAGCACACAAACACTGAGTGAAATCACAAAAAAAAAACAGAAATCTAACCTGTCCAGAATACAAAGGAGGAATTTCATCTGAATAACTGAAACGGATCATATTGATTAGACCTGAGAAAGTACAATTTAAAAGATACAAAAATGTTTTTAAAAATGGGATCGGATATTCCAAATGAAGAATGACGAGTCAAAAGCTAACACAGTACGTAAAACTATCTGTAGGCAGTACATTCAATAAGAGTTGTAACAAAAATACCAATTAGACCCATGATGGGATATATATTTTTTTAAATGCTCATAAACCGATCTTCAAATCAATCATATATTACTGTATCATATCTAGACGAATGTGACTAAACAAATAAACGTTGAACAACGATCAAAATGCTATGTAATACCCACAGAGAAACAACAAAACTATCGAATTTCTTGTTATCAAAGTGCATTCGGCAAGACGATCCTCCTGAAGAAATCGAATCTTGAATCATAAGCAAGTGAATATCAATGGTGGTCTAAAATCGATCGGTTCGTGATTTCAATGAATATCAGAAAATTAGACCAACAACACATCGATTAAACTACAGGATAAGAGAAAAGATTTCATTCACAAGCAAAAACATAAGAAAGATTAATTATACATAGTAACAAAAAAGACGGCACCAAACAACCAACAATCATTGCATCAGTTAGGATGAAGGAAAACTCGACACTTATTTTGTTTGTGGTGATATTTTATAGATATTATGATTAACGTTCCAGATAATAGTAGAGATTTTTATCCCAAAAATTTTGAGAACTTACCAATAAGAAGACTTGGTGCAGAGGAGGCTGTTTCCGCCGTATATGCAACCCATTTGAAAAAGATCAATATCACCAAATAAAGGAAGATGCATGACAAGAAAAGGATTTGAGGAAGCAGTAAGCACCAAATCGACAAGTTATCTTTATTATTTCTAAGAAAAATAAATTAAGGGAAGTACAACAACCAAAAACACTATAGAAAGAGAATGCAAATATCATCATATACGTAAAAACTAAAAACAAAGTAAAATAATGAAAAAACCAAAAGAATTTCTCCATTAACAAACAAAATTTGTCTCCGGGAAACACATTCTTCTAAAAAGGTCTGAAAAATTTAAAAATCAGAAGCGATTAAACTTTCACTGAGTTAGGCTTGAAAGAAAATATATTCTCCACATAATTTGCATTAGATGAGTACCTTTTAATTTATTCTGAGAGCTCGAAATGAATGGTAAAGCGAAAGGTGGCAAAGTGAAACCAGCTGATTAGTTAAATTAAACTGAATAAATATCTTTAAAAAGAATGAAAACGGAATAACTCAAATAAGCATGATTTGACCAATCCTAATCAAAATATAACTTGACAAAAGATTTGATCGAAATAAATGTTAACTTAGAAAGTACAATGATGAGTGCGTACACGCTTGATAAATTGAATATTGATTATTTTACAAATAACAATGAATATTTATATTCGATTGTTTAACTCTTATTTTTAAGTAAAGAATCGTTTGGATAACCATGTAGTATCGTCAATCATGAAAAAAATTATCTGAAATTACTCGTATAAACAAACCTAGTACACAAGTTACATGATCATTAGTTGCACCTTTTTTTAATAAATGCCTATCACATTCTATCAGTTATTTCAGATTAAGATAAAAGATTCACAAAACACGGGTGTAGTGTCTTACACATAAATCCAATCTATTCCATTTTCAAATTGTCTCTATACAAAGCTAAAGCTAGTCCCAACTAAGTAATCCTTTCTTCCACTCCTTGATTCTCGCGATTGCAAAGTTAGTCTTATTATTTCTAGCGAGTATTCACAAGGTAACCACCTACTGAGAAATTATCTCTAATAACTCTGTCATTTTAAATTTCTCATCTTTCTATGGCACGTATAAAAACTGACTATAACAACTAAGATTAAATCAAACCAGAAAACTAGCTAAGCCCACAAATATATATATATAAACTATTAACACGAACGTTGAGTGATGAAAGCAGCAACTATGATATCTCATTAATCAAAAATAGCTACATGAAATGAGAACTGAAACGAAATAAAAGTAAGATCCTAGTACCACATTTCTTTTACATTCAATAGAACAAACTTTTGATGAAAATGATGTGACGATGAAAATGAAAGAGCTATTAGGTACAAAAGTTAGTACAAAGACAGATTTTTAAGATATGTACTATAGGAAATATGGAAAACAAAATTATAAAAGGAATTTACCTGTAATTGAAAGCACCTAAACTAATGCCCAATAGCATGTGTAATACTCCCAGTACGACAGACATCTTCATCTTGATCGAATTTGTCAACATGATTTTATTACCAGATAACTGCCATACAGGATCTAAACCAAAAGGATAAGGATATCCGGCATACATTCTGTCCGACACATTAACGCTTGTTCGAGGTTCTAACTGGAGTCTAACTTCCTTTGATAAAACACTATTATCATAAGTTGGATACCATGAGGACCCAAAAATATTAGCAGATAGAGAGAATATGTCGTTGTATATCAATCCAGTATAAATTGAAAACAAACCCATAAGAAGTATAATATAACGACCACTGAAAAATATATTCCAAATTTCACCTCCGGACTTATTAGCCTAAAAAGATATTAAGTTTAATTAAAAATAAAAAAGGTAACAGGAATGAGTAACGCCACACTAAAACAACATCAATAAGTTTGACTATCATTTCATATTTCAAATAATCTTTCATTCGGTTTATTTTTCTTTAATTTTCTACATATTAACTCATTATAGAATGCCTGATTTCTATAGTGTGCTGTGATTGTGGCCAAAACATATTTGTATGAAACTTTCTCAGAGTACATACAGAACGGTGAGTCTACTATGGCAATACAACAGAAACCCAACAATTGATTATCAGGTAGTGGACACGTTGAACTTTGAGTTCTACAACATTGAAATGACAAAACTAATCCCAAGAGAGCTGAAACTTGATACAATTAAGTGGTTCATATATTTGCTTTTAACCACCTGATCATAAGTTTGAATATTATCTATCCTCAAATAACAAACCTGCTGTGAAGTCGAGTTTGTACATGGCTGTCGATTTACATGAAAAGTTAACTAAAACTTAGTTTGTAGTAGGTGTTGATTAAAGAGTTCTCAAAAGGATTCCGCCATTAGTGGCTATCCACTTCATGAATTACACACACCAAATTGTCACTGACCATGATTTGCAATGTCAGTTGATATATTATGCTGGAAACAATGCGTGGATTGTAAGACCAGGGAATCCCGCAAGTCGAAAAGTCACTGACTGATTTCAAGGTATGCAACAGAATGAAGGGTTTTCTTAATGGATTATTTTGAACAATAGAAATTAATAAGGACTCTAGGCGATACAGTTCCGAACCATTGAGTTTTGACATTAATTTCCTGAACATTTTATTATCACTCATTGTTTAGCATTTGTGTTGTATTTGTGTTGTACTATAATCCTATTTTGCATCGGAATGACTGAAAAAGCGTGTAACAAATAGTGAAACAGGAAACGTTCTTTTGCATCATTCTGATTAATTGGTATTATACCAGTAGTTTCCCAAGTACGTGATTTCCATTAATAAAGTAGTCTGAATTGATGTCCAAGAATACTAAGCAATAGGAATAACCAGGTTGTAATAAAAGAAATTATAACAGTGGTGACAGGAATGGGATATGCTTTAATCCAATCCATGTCCCGCTAACATATACAGGTCTTGATTAATAGAGCATCTATAACGAAGAACATTTATTTCATAGTTTCAATGTAAGGTGTATGCAATTAAAGTATACGATGAAGATTGATATAAGTTTTAAAGTCATATTTCAATTCACAGGGTGCATGATACATAAAGAAATCATTCGAGTAAATAGACAAGTGTGCTTGGATTATTAGTAAAATGCAAAGCAAATTACTTCGACACACAAACAAATGAATTTTTAATTATGTAACATAATGTTAACAACTTAAAAGTGATGTGTTTATCGATCTCCTTAAGGTTAATGAATTTAGCATGATAAGTTCAGTTATACGCTATTTAAAAGATACATGAAAATTAGTTTGCAGGTTAGTTAGCAAGAAACAAAGTTCACAAAATGAGTTGTGTCCAATCTTGATTAAATTATATATATATATATATATATATATATATATATATATATATATATATTCTAAAAAGGCAACTGAACATTACTAACTAATAGTATCAGATTTTAAAAAGATTTAACTCTGAACCAAACTTACACTTAATTTTCGCTCACATACAACCATCCACAAAGCGAAAAGAAACATAAGCAATCCATGGCCAGCATCTCCAAACATTACAGCAAACAGGAAGGGGAATGTGATAACTGTGAACAGAGCTGGATTGACTTCTCGATAACGTGCGACTCCGTAAGCATCAATGATACTTTGAAAAGCATAGGTAAATTTATTTGTTCGGTGGTATGTCGGAGGATTTTCCGTAGTTACTATTCCATTTAAAATCGGTTGTAGAGTACTATTGCTGCGTTCCATACCACGACGTAAAGCCAAATTAATTTTGTCCACATCATTCACTGCACACCAGCATTCCCCAACCATACATTTTGTAGTTACATCAAGGTTGAACAAATTTAAAGTATGATAGATAGCTTTGATTTTCCTAACCCTTATAAACCAGGTGCGTAAATTTTTAGCGGCCGTTTCTAAAATACGTTGACGATGCTGCCTAGTTTGTGTTAGCACTGTTTCCAAATCTTGGATCTGACCCATCACTTCAATGGCCATATTACGTCGATCAGCTTGTGAATCAGGGCAAGGATATAGGGTTGCATGGAATCTAGAGAAAAAAGTAAATCATCCATTAACATTGATCAACATGAAATTTCATTACAGAAAAGATAGATGTAGAACCCTAATCTACACAGTGAATGCATATTTATTTGTGTATGTTTATAGCTCGAATTTATTATGGCCATAATAGATGAAGAATGCAACAATCAAAACTATTATTCAACTTGATCAGAAAAACACTAAATCACCACATACAATATATTTTAATGGAAATAGGGAAGGTCACGAACAATAACTTAAACGAAGGTAGATTATCATCTAACTTCTGTTCAATTAAGTTGCATTTTTCTATCTTGTGAGTCAGAAGTAAAAGTAACAAGCGTAAAGATCTCAATAGTACTAAACTTAAAGTTGATATAATCTAAAACTATGATTTTGTAATCTATACCACAATATAACTTATTCTTGAGTGACTAAAATATATGTTTTAAGAAAAAGGCTAAAGTAATGATGGGATCGATAACATTATTCCCTAGTTTTAACATCTATAACGGATTATAGTATCTGCGATCCTGTTGCTTATACTTCGGAACGGGAACCACAGAGAATTTCATAACGTGAGGCGAAAACAGCAAAAGCAGACGAAGTTGGACCAAATACACTCATTTAAAAACTAATTTTACACACTTTATGATTAGTTAACAAGCATCATATAAATGAAGAGATATACAGGCTTATTGTAAAACGCAAACGAAATTCAAACAAAAATAATGTAAAGAATATAATTGTCACACTGAGATAGAATTCACACCTGTCATATTGGACCAAATTTACACTTAATTGATATGAAACATATTGCCCTGAAATAATGTCACACTGGAAAATATAAACTCAATATCGTACCGAATAAAATCGATTTCAAATGTCACCCTGATAATAAGCTAATGTTGTACCGAATAAAGTGTTACGTTATAAACAAAATAACGTCAAAATGACACACTGGAAATAAAAATTAATGTCACGAAATGTTACACTGAATTAGAGAAAAACATGAAAATGTCTACTTAGCCCGATTTATCACGGATAAACTTGAACAGACATTATTCACTGAATACATTATCCTCTTAACAACACAGACCAATCCCGAAACCCTGAGTCATTAGTACACTTTTGAAAAATTGAGCGCATGTATATAAGCGAATGGTCGTTTAATTAGACCACCAAAATGTTTCCCCATTATATATAATTGAGCTAATCAGTGTGAATTGTAAGTTATTAACAGGACAGAGATGGATATTGTGATCAGAATAATTAGGATAGGAAGACTAAGAAACAGACATTTCCAAACTCAAAGTTCAAAGCTTAGTGGAAACAATTCAGTCATATGGTACTAGAGGACAGAGTTTGTGAATAAGCACCGTACATTTAAATGTTTTACAGAAGAAACATAGAAGCAGACAATATTGAATCAAAACCACTGTAATCATTTTATTAAGAACTTAGTATACTCTGAAAATGTTTTGTCCCGATGAATCATATAATTGTCACGATAATCTTGATCGAATATCCGCACCCACATCATGAGTGAAGAACTTTTCATTTCTTCCCGTTTATTCACTGTCTCCTGTTATCCAATAAAATTGACTGTTATAAAATTAACTCATTGCTCATTACCATTTTAAGATGAATGGAAAGAAGGAACGACTTATGATAAAATTACCTTTTCTAACCATGTGCTATAATAATCAAACAAGCACAAGTGAAATTGTTTCGTGTTGGTCGCTGACACAGAAATGTGGCCCTGACAATCTTGTTACTGATAACCCTCCCATCGATGAAAGGGTCAAAAACGATAACATAGAATTTGGCGAGACAACAGGTCCTGCATTTTGGCGCGAAATTCATTCATCCATATGGCAAAATACTGTTTGGCATTATAGCTGATGTCAGTTCGTGATGAAAACTCTGAATATTGTTCCTAACCCTAACTATCAACTTTAAATCATAATTCTAATTCCTCATGCAGGTTTATAATCTTCATTTGGTCTTAGTTATTAGGACACTCTCAAGGTCACTTTAGGGTCGCTCAAAGGTCGTCCATAAATTATAGTCTCATCGAGAATTCTAACAAGAAATTATTTGTGATTTATGATTCTCACTTCCATAAAAATCAAAAACCACACATGAAATTTGTATGTTGGCAAAGAGGTCGCAGTGTAGCAAGGATAAACGGAAATGATATTCAAAGAAAGTGAATTGAGAAATTTAATAAGACTTTCCTGAACGGTTTCAATAGAATGTGAATGTCCGACCGTCATTTACATAGAATTTCCCGACGCATATTGGTCAATTTTTAGTGGGAATCTGGATCACAATCATGAATACAATATTCTATGCTATGAAAATAATGCATGGATCCCAAAGTTGACTAACGCGGTATTTAAAAGTGTCCAGCCTCTGCTTATTTCCGGGACGGTAGCACACAATGCGGTCAACCCGGTACACTCGTAAGATTAGGAATGGCTACTTGCGCCGAACGGCTTCAACGTGAGGCTAAAAGTCTTCCAGCATACTAGTTTTCCAGATAAGTTACGTGTATATTCGCATAAATGAAATGAGAGGAGTTATCAAACACTTCGAAGTCACACCATTGCCTTGGCAGATGTTGAAGATATATCATTTGGATAAAGATGATTTCTGACATTTTATCTTCCCAATTTCCGACCAAACTATTTAGTTACTCGTGTTCTGGATGTAGTTAGCTGGTTTTGATGAAACGTACACAACCAACGACGAAAATTTGTTTGAATGTCAAGATGTACCACTCAACATAAATCTAATGACGATGTCAAATTCTTTTGTGTCCAAATAAATTCTGCCTTAATATTCAGTCAATCAGTTAGTCAAATGCAACGTGGAAACTGGTATCTGTGTACATCGGTTTGAGTTCTCAAGGAGTCAAATAATGAACGAAATGTTCCCAGGATGGTTATAGATTACTCACTCCCAGAAGCTGCAGCAATAACGGAAGTTTATCCGAACTCGTGTCGCATTTTAATGATGAGTACACTTAAGCCATAACGTCATTGAAAGGGTATGTTACTCAACGAATTACCTTCAACTTCAAATAAAACTGTAGAGACTGCGATCGCTGACTGTTCAGTTGTTCTTCTGTTTGATGTACACGGAAAACATAAACAGGTGAACAGAATATTTTCTGTCTTATACTTTTTTGAAATTATCACTGACAGAAGCTACAAACGCATTGATTTATTGATGTCTGCTACCAATTATTACCAAAGCAGCATGAATGGTTAAACGCATTTATGACAGCTAACTAATCTATTGGACAATTAAAAATATCAACTTTGTGGAAGTCGATGCACCGGATACCACAAAGCGACAATAAGCACTTCCGTTCTCAATGTGCTTTATGCGCTTTATGGACTAGATACAATCTCGAGTTCAAAAATACTTTACAGACAGCAGTAACAAAACTACAATTGAACACCAAGTCCAATTTTTTGTTTAGAAGAAGTACTGATACTTGCAATGTCAGTTATTGAACCATTATCTACATCTACCTATAACAGAGGCCACTGCATCCGTCGATATGTCCAACGTTATTAATACTACAGAAACTTTCAGTGTATTATATGATCCGTTAAACTGCACTTTCTTTTTTGAGACCGAATATGGACTACCTTGTCATCCAACTAACTTATTTTGTCCTGTCTGACATCTACTCTAATATGGTTATCGAGAAATATACGCCTCAACATAGATCACAGCCAGGCAGATTCAAAGAACTATCTTCTTTGGTCCCTTGTTTGCCAGATGAATAGTTTTCAGTCTATGTACATGACATGAAATGGCTACTTTGGGGAACTATGCCTAAACCGAGAGACTAAGGACCAACACCGACGCAACACCTTTTATATAACCACTTAAATACAGGATCCTGATGACCCCACATACTACTGAGTTTCAAACAGAGTGCTGCTGAATCGGATGAAAGACGCAGTAGACGCCGAACTTAGGGATCATCAGGCTGGATTCCGTAAGGATCGGTCGTGCACAGACCAGATTGCGACACTACGGATCATCGTTGAACAATCAGTTGAGTGGAACTCATCACTATACGTCAACTTTATTTACTATGAGAAGGCGTTTGACAGCGTGGACAGGAGAACATTATGGAAAATTCTTCGACACTATGGAGTTCCTCAGAAGATCGTCAACATTATCCAAAACTCATACGATGGACTACAGTGCAAAGTGGTGCATGGAGGACAGCTGACAGATGCATTTCCAGTAAGGACCGGAGTCAGACAAGGCTGTCTACTCTCCCCATTCCTCTTCCTTCTAGTGATTGACTGGATTATGAAGAATTCGACATCTGAAGGGAAATACGGAATACAATGGACAGCTCAGAATCAATTAGATGATTTGGACTTCGCAGATGACCTAGCCCTCCTATCTTATACACACGAATAAATACAGACGAAGACAACCAATGTAGCAGCAGCCTCTGCATCAACAGGCCTCAACAGACACAAAGGAAAAAGCAAGATCCTCGAATACAACACGAAGAATGCCAACCCAATCACACTTGATGGAGAAACTCTGGAAGAGGTGGAAACATCCAAGTACCTGGGGAGCATCGTTGATAAACAAGGAGGATCGGATGCAGATGTAAGGGCGAGGATTGGCAAAGCAAGGGCAGCATTTCTACAATTGAAGAACATATGGAACTCAAAACAACTCTCGACCAATTTCAAGGTCAGAATCTTTAATACGAACGTCAAGACAGTCCTACTGTATGGAGCTGAAACGTGGAGAACTACTACAGCCATCATCAGGAAGGTACAAGTATTTATAAACAGTTGTCTACGCAAAATATTCAACATCCACTGGCCGGATACTATCAGCAACAGCGTTTTATGGGAGAGGACAAACCAGCTTCCAGCTGAAGAGGAAATTAGGAAAAGACGTTGGAAGTGGATCGGACATACATTGAGGAAATCACCAATGTGCATCACGACTCAATCCCTAACTTGGAATCCGGAAGGGAAGCGGAAAAGAGGAAGGCCAAAGAACTCACTACGTCGGGAAAAAGTAGCCGATATGAAAAGGATGAATAGCAACTGGAAAGAACTGGAAAGGAAGGCTCAGGACAGAGTTGGATGGAGAATGCTGGTGAGCGGCCCATGCTCCTCCACAAGGGGTAACAGGCGTAAGTAAGTAAGTAAGTACTACATGGATTTTAACTGATCAGATTATAGTAATAAATTATCCACAGTCGAATAAATAATTCAAAAACATGACAGGTGTGTCCCTGGACACAGCGAAAATTCATTTTCAAACAAATCAGTCAGTTACTTCCTTAAATATCTACAATTACTCCCTTAAAATTTATCAGTACGGATCAAGAACCTAAACTCCTGAGGCCTTATTGTCAGACCTAGGTTTTAATGTCTTTTAGCTGATGTCAGTCTTTAGTGAAAACTACCTGTAAAAAATCACTGTTCATTTATACATTTTGTTTTCTTGTCAGCAAGTCCTTACAATAAAAATTGTATTAGGCGATCAACAGACAACTCCTTTGTCGGATGAGTCGAAACTAATGAGATTTGAGGACGAAACCTGGTATTATAGTAAGAAAATAAACCATCATTAGTTTAAGCTCGGAGGTAATCAGCAATCAGAATCGCTGGATTGTTAAAAACAATGAAATCTCGTAAAAGGCATTCAATATGTCAGCTTCACGTATTTCGCTAAGATGATCTTTGAAGACTAAAAACTTTTAAATCACTTAGAAGGACGATTTATATCGAAGAAAATGCCTATACCTCTGAATATGTGACAAGTTCTTCCACATTAGTCTCTTGTATAATGACAGGGGCAACTGCGATATATACAAAAGAGACTGCGAGGCCGAAATACTTTTTGAGCTTAATTCTCATTGTTTATACGCATGACTGCTTAAATACATTAGGCAACTCATATTACTAATTCAAACCCTCGTATTTAAAGGGAACAGACAGACCACATTAAAAAAAATCGTAAACACTGATTTACATAATTTGTGGAACTCGAATATCTAAAACTTAGACCCAGTATCGTTTCCGTGTCATTATATCCTAATATCTGTGGTCAATGCAACACACAAGCAAGTGCAAATAATCAGCTTTCTTGAAGTCATACAAATACTAATGTACAAGTTATCATATTAAAATTAAGACTAGAAGGGGCTAAACTTGAAAGCAAAAGTTATTGTAAAGACGTTAGAAAAACCTAAGACTTACCCGTCGCATATCTTTTTAACACGAGTCCGAAGCTGATCACCCTGAAAGAATACCAAGAATACGGATTTGTGGACTGGCATACCCTGTAAAAGATACAAACATAAGAAAAATTACACCTGAACATGTTGGAGAATAATTTTAGCACGCTAAGAACTTATTAGAACATAGGAACAAGCCTAGTTCAGCAAAGAGGTCACCTTTTATACAATTTATTCTTGAAACTATAGACAAAAATACATGTAAGATTATATCAACAATAGCGGTTTCGAAGGTGAAATCGCAGGGACATATTCCTTTGATAAATCTGATACGATCCACAAAGATCAGGCCTAGCAGTCAAATCTTAATTGATTGGAGAACAAGTGACCTAAAAGCTAATTTCCTCGAATTGCCTATGACACCTATTCATGTTTATTTTGTGCTCATATTTTGTACATAAACATGTTACTTTATTACATGAAGAACTAATCATATGACTGGCGGTCTTGTCTTTGATGTCTAATTATTCTAGGGTCCAAGTTTTTAACACGGTCTCGTGAGTAACCACCACTCGGCCACATTGTATGATTACGTTCATACATCGATTAGAATCCTATTTACTGGTTTGAACAACGCGAAATCTCGCCCAAGCAAACCATATAAAAATCTCGATTCATAAACACAATCTCTTATTTTTTGTAGAGCTAATAATAAGGACGGAATAAAATAAGACCTTTCAAATGTATAAGTTCATCTACGCTCCAATTTATATGAAATCTGTTAAAAAAAACTTAATTTGTACTTGCATTTATAATTTCGAAGATTCCTATTATTTCTCCTGAAAAAGCGATAGATGATCATTTGTGCTAAAAGTATGAACTGAACTTTCGTGCATTGTATAAAGTTGCAACACCTTACTCATAAGATAACACTTACAAATCGAAAATCACAGGCATCTGAGATCGCTTTTGCATACTACACAAAAATGATATGTAATAAACAATGCTAAAACCCAGTAAACTAGTTTTATTAGTGACTTCATGAAGTTCACAAAACTTTCTAAACCAGCAACAAAAATTAGTTATGTTGATGCTTGATTCATGCCACCCAATGAGACATATAAATGTAGGATATGTACAAGGGTGCCAAAATCGAAATTATTACCATTCATATTGATACATCGAGAGTAAATTGACATCATGAGTCAAATTTAAACTTATACATAAATGCACAAATGTACAGCAGTTATCGCCGTTACCAGAAATCCATCCATAAAAAGTACTTAGATACAGAAAACAAAATACTAATTTATGAAACTGTGGGCTACAGTAGCCTGAGAAAACGCCTTAATACAGTCAAAGTCCGAAAACAAAAATGGATGAGGAAACTTTTCAGCTTACGCGGTCCTGAAATCGTCAAATATATGCAACATTTCCAGTTTTCATAACTATATATAGCACAAAACTTAAGAAACTAAACCCATCGAAGCAAATAAATGTTTACAAATGATCTTAAGTGTTTTTTTGCAGAAAGCAACGGGTCATACTGTGCTCATAAAAAACATCCATTTATGTACGATAAGCTTACAACTTTGTTACTGGAACAAGAATATTAATACTTGGACACTATTGTGATGGTAACATGTAAAGGTTTACGACATATGCTTTCTTAACTCTTATGGCAGAAATTAATCACAAAGTTTTCTTAGAAGACCCATCAATATAACTATGTATTGCTTTACTCACCGTTGTAAGATCTTCTAATGGGTCATCAACTTCTGCTTGCTTAAGGAAAACATTTCCTCGACACACCCGCCACAGCATACGCTCGAAAGCTGGTAACCGTTCACGAAGGATAATCCCAGCAAGAAATCTAGTTTTAAAAAATTTGATTTGTTATTTGTACGTTATAATGGTGATTTCTCTGAAAGCTACTGTGCGAAACATGATTATGTGAATATCAAAACTAGGAATGCAAAGTGGGATTTGTGAACAAGAACTTACAGACCCATTTGCTATAACGATTTTCAATCATTCCCAAAACTTTACCTAAACACATGTGATACCTCAGACAACGACTTTCACGAAATCTAGACTCACTACTGAAATAATCCCAAATACTGTCTCTGAAATTCGCAGTTAGTGAGACCAATTACTTCAATATTACATATAATTTCGTCATATTTTATTACTTTTTGATTTGACTCGAATTCACCAAATGTAGTAACTGGAAAGGTGATAAGGTGCAGTAAAATCAGACTCAATGACTAAAAACTGAAAATGTGACAGGTTACTGATGGGATTATTCCCATGTAATCGCTACAGAACTATTCTAGGAAATGCGAAAGGGAGTGAGGTGGGGGTAACGTAACAATCGTAAGGGAGGTTTGAATTATTTACATGTAATTGGAAAAAAGAGCGAGGATTGTATGATTAATCCATGAGTGCTAGGGAGTGCATGAGGTAACGAATGGCCAAAATTTCAACAAAAATAAATCAATAGGGTAATTAAAAAACAAAATTAATAACTAATTTAAAAAACAGATATTATTTAGACCAATCTGATTTAAGGACTATGGAACTTTCAAGCCAAACGGTTTACAAAATATGCTCAAAAAATAAGTACATACATCCTCGCTTTTGCTCTTACAATATTTTGGAAAATAAATTTGGAGATAACATGAGAGGACTTTGGGATATTTTGGACGGCAATCCGTTTGATGGATAGTGACAACTTGAGCCACAAAATAGGTAGACTTTAGTGGTATTTATTTCCAGATTGACTGATCTCACCACCCCCAAAACCAAGATGCAAAGGATATACATAAATTTTAGTTATACCGGCCTTGAAGTAAATGACAGACGTATATGAGAATTCTTACTCTCCACAGGATAAATCGGCGATTAGTTCCGATGGCTATTTGTGAACATAAAGCTGACAATCGGGTTTTCGGACCTAGGGATACACAGTGGATAATTTCGAGAAATGTTTTGTGTTGCCACTGTAGTTTAATTTATGGTTTACTGTTTTGTTTGCTCAGACTCAATATAACGAACACTTTTGATATTACTTGAGTAACTGGTTCAATTCGCAAAGATCTAAACATGAAGCTCCAGTGGTGCACTAACGTACTGGTCTACAAAATTGACCAACCATACAACCATACTTGTTTCCACAGCAGTACTTATATTTAAATCACTGAATTGGTATTTCTAAGGCCAGACACAAAATTAACGTATGGAGTGTAAGTTGGTAGATAAGATTGTTAATTGGAACTGATTAGATGAGATATAAGAAACAAATCATAAATCAAAAAAGCATTTGTAATCATTAGTAGGGAGTTACAATCAATAAGTTCCCAGAGTCGATAGGTGATTTCCGGGATTTGTATACTCACTCTACATGACGTATGTTATTGTTAGTATGACCTGTAACATCCCTTTCCGAATTATGATCGGGATCATTCGTTGGGTTTAAGTCTAGATGAGATTCTACGTTGGCCTAAAAGTCACAAACAGATTAGTAAGCGAAATATACATAACGCGAATATAAAAGCTGTAACTTACCCCAGTCGCAATCCACCAGCAGTGCCAGCAGCACCCATCGCTTCACCCCCAAGGAGTCCAACATTTTCTTCCGACATTGCAGGATCGTGTAGAGCCTGTTCGCGATTCAGTCGACGAAGGGGCAAATCATTGGAAGGTATGGTCAGACGTTCAATCGGTAAAGCTTGGCACTAATTTATTCACAGCAGTACAACACCGAAGTCGGACAAACCGACAAAAGGACCAGACAACGGCTGAGGCAATTAGGTATAACCACATGCAATACAAGGAAAAGAGCAACGGACAACTTGCCGATGTCTAAAGCGGCTTACGCCTGAATGTGAATGCTAACTGTAACAATTTAGTCACACTCAACAAATCCGCAAAGGTGATCAACTCAGTGACAATTAAGGATACTATACGGTTTAATTTTGAAAGCATAATTGGTAGTCTGTGCTAAGCTCAGGTTTCACATATTCTTAACCATTACAACTTTGAATAGACAATCCTTACTTTCTTTAGTTACAAACAAGCAATAGCTTTATTTTCATCGCGGCAGTTGTAAATAGAAAGCCCCCAAATGCCCTGGTACGGCCGAGAGTGGGGAGAGTCTGCTCTCCCTCTCGAAACGCTCTCATATGGCCACGCGAATATATAGCCTATGCCAGGGAAGTCCTACTCACTGCCTTCTCGTGGTGAGGGTGTTGTTCACAAAAGTGAGGGGACGAAAAGCACATGTCCGGCGCTTTAACCGGGTTGGTGGATGTGGAGGATCCACCTAGGGGAGTTGAAAAATCCTGATTCCAAACCAATGGTGCACATGGGCTCCAGGATCCTGAAGGAACGAATGGCGTATGAACCAACTGTTGGTCACCGGCTACCATGGGACTGCATCTCCTCACGATGCTCCACTGCCTTGTGGATCAGACCTTTAGGTCAAAGGCACCGGGTGTGGCCCCCTAAGAAAACCACCTGCTTCAGTCTGGGCACCTGGGCAGTATCACAGCCCTCACATAAAATCGAACGAGATTTGTGAGGCGCATATTTATCTGGTGCTTTCTTGTATCAATATTTATGTGTTTAAATAAATAAATAAAAATACTCTGTAATTGAACGTTACTGTCTTATACCGAGTTCGACCCGAGACCTCCACAATTACCGTCATAATTTCTCTTATTTCGACAGATACTTTTATTGCTTATTATTCTCAGACACTATTAGACAAGTCCCCAAATCAGAACACGGTTGGACAGGAACGTAATTAAACTCCAAATAAAAAGGTTGCATGGAAATAGGAATCACGATAAAATCGTCAGTATATTTTTTATTTTTACATAAGTCTTCTCCGAGACTCCGCTAGCATCGATTGGTTAGGAAATAGCCAATCAGCGTGACCCACCAATACTGCACGGGATATGCTTCAATCTAATCTAGGTGCGAATAACAGCTACCAACAACTGTATACTATTCGAGTTTCCATTGATAGTGAGCAACCAGGCCTTCTGACTTAAATTTTAGTTAACTGAAGAGAAATGAGCCATAACAAAGCGCACCATAGATTGTCAGAGATTACTTAGACAACTAAAATAAAGTTGGATTCTGCAGCCAAATGTGAGAAATTTTAGTACTTCAACCGCTTGTTACGTTTTTCTACATTGGCAAAATGAACATTCAGCTTCCCCTGAAAACTGATTTACCCTTACCATTACAAACCGCCATATTGTTTGTAAGCTGACTTAATGTGCTAAATACACTTATTAGCTAGTCGGAAATAAAGCTGATAAAATCGATTACCTTAGTTTGTCACCAATGATGAACAGAAATCTGGGAAGTGAACCATTCCAAAACTTAAAAGCTAGCACAATAAGTTGGGAAAGCGACTAGTGAAGTCACGGCAAACTCCCTACAATACGCCTCAAAAAACTGTGATGAACGAGTTAATTATCAGAAGATAGTCTAAACGTTTCTAATGTTCAGAAATCTGTGATGTGCGGAAAAATTCATGAAAACTAACAACGCTCAGACCAACGGAAGTATGACAAGTTTACACTAGCAACTAAACTTGACCATAAACGCTGAGAAAAGCTCATAATTAATCGATAGATGATGAATAACTTCAGTTGATTAGTTCAACCTGTTACAATGAACTAGGACTAGTAAATGAAATGAGTATTACGTGTGAACTCATCAAATCCCCAGGCCGGGGAGGAATAGAGGTTAGTTCGATAACACCATGTTCCAGTGAGACTTGAAATTACTATTAGCCGTATGAATACGAGTGGACAATACTACTATCACTTATGTTAACCATAATATTTTATGCTCACCGAGCCTGATAGACCATGACTACGTATTTATTAAAACACCACCGGGCTGGACTGCAACGTCTAACTTATCGAGTATATGTTGTAAACCAATTCGAGGGCGACACATTACCACGAACGAAAACATAAAAACTTACTTCGTCAAAAAATGTCTGCGTTTTGCGCAAAATTTGCTTCAGTTCAGACAATTCCAGATACGTCTTTTTTAATTTTTCCGCGCTTGAGTTCACTTCTTTCAGTTCGTTCTCTAATTTCTCGAAAATGCTTTCCAGGTCGATAATTTCACGCGGGGCCGGAGCTTCTGGATTTTCGCCAGTGTCCAATATGGGAAACTTGTCTTTTTCGATCTCCTTCTCCAGGAATCCTGAGTGAATGTACGGATTAAGCGGATGAATTACTTAATTTTCGCTCCATTTCATCACATCTTCGAACTTCATTTACAAATTTTCTCTGGAATGCGTTGGTACCTGGGACAGTCTAATACTATAACAAGTGAGAGCACTAGTTACATCTCGAAACTGAACCAGCCCCAACTCCCCTAACTCTGATATGCACATGTAGGCTATGTCTGTGTGCAGAAACATTTGAGATAGTTGCATTTCTTCGCTCCGAAACAACGAACCCATCTTCACTTACTACAGAAAACGAAACTGGACTATGAGCGCTCCACTTCGACCTTGACTAAGGTAACAAACTTCCGTAAATTGATAATCTCCAAGACCCTATTTTTTTATACATGCCCAGTAAGCAACATCAGGAATTTGGCACGATTTTAAGTTTCAGTAAATCCTTATTTTATTTTCCACATGCGGATGAGTCAGTAAAATCGTGTGGCACGCATCGCATAAATAAATTCGAGCAATGGTTTTCTAATCTCCGCTATCAGATCTCCTAAATCTCACGTTCATGTCATTTTTAATTATTTTTATTTGCTTCACAAACCAAGGCGTCTATTACTCTATTTGACCCACTGAAATACTAATCTCTGTTATGATACCGAGCAGTTAAAAAACATGCTGAAATTAACAGTAAACGTAACCAGTTAGCACCACTCACGCATATATGGCCACTGAATAATGAAAAAAAACGTGAATAACTCACTAAATCAGAATGTACCGTAGATTTTGCCGCTGAAGAAGTGGTGAAAAAAGAGTAATGTCTCCCAACAATGTAGTTGCCTACAGTTGTAGAAATATGGTCTACACATTCTCTGTGACCAAACACTCCTAAAGGTGCCACAAGTATTTGTAGTTTGACAACGCCTTGACTAGCAACACCTTTTGCAACCAAAACGTGCCAACCCAGTCAAATCCAAAGTCCGAATTGAACAGGTTCGAAGATATGCTTTATAGAATATCGATATATCGAGAGGGGACTAATCTAAACTAGCTGGCGGTTGTAAGAGATGTCAAGCACAGCGTACCCATTCATGATCTGGTACGGATGCGTGACCACACTCCTTCAGCCAGGTGAATCTATTCAATCTAATGCGGTCATAATCAAATGTCGAAGACTTACAAAGGTACTGATTTCGGGAATTTATTTACCGCTACGCCTCCTAAAGCAGTGGGATATTTACTTTCTAGCATAAGGCGTGCTGAACGTTACCTGTCAGGTCATCAGTCTTAGAAAAAGACCGAACAAATTGACATACCCCATCCTGTTTAAGGTTAGCTGTCGTAACGATGCCAAGTAGCTTACTAATTCTAGTAAAATTATTAGCTCATTGATTCCGTCCAAAATCATAAAAGTCACTTCACACCTATCACCATGTTGGCGTCCTGTAGGAGAACGTGAAGGATTAGGATGGCGTGGTCATGCTACAGAAAATAGCCAACTAGAGACAAACTTCAATGCTGCTAAGAATATCGAACACATTTATCATGTACATGATGTTAATACACAAATGATATCACCCTCTAGATCTAGGTGAGTCTACAGACTAGAAATCTCTGAATAGGATACATATTCTGACTGAAATCATTTCACGTAAATATGTTGACTGTTAGCACAGTAAAGCGTTTGAATATGGGCTATATGATAACAAATTCTGCCTGTAGCTCTTCTAGAGTTACTGCCGGTCCCAAGCCCGGGTAAAGGAGGAAGGTTAGGCATGGGCTTAGCGACCCCACCCCGTAGAAAAACTAACTCGCTAATAAAACGCCAATCAGAAAAGATAAAACAAACCATTTAAACTCTGACCTCCGAGTTGAAGGAAGAATTATGACGCCTCATGATGAAAGCCGGGATTCCTCGGAAGTCACGAGGCCGATACCCCTTCTAACAACCAGAGCAACAATTTTTATAGGTACATGGGACGTCTGAACAATGTGAGAGAACGGAAAGACCAGTCAAATAGAAATGGAAATGAGGAGATACAAACAGGCAGTGCTGGGAATCAGCGAAACCCATTTGACACAAGCTGGACAGCAAAGGCTAGATACGAGAGAGATACTGCTGTATTCCAGTCAGGAGGTCCCAGGAGGATGATCCAGGGGGTCGTGGGTCGCAAAAGGTAACCCTGGACAAGATTCAGGAAAGGGAGAACAACAGTCTAATACGAGCAGAGAAAGTCAAGGCGCAAGCAGAGTACACGGAAGCAAACAAGCAAATGAAAAAGAGTTTTAAAGCCAACAAGCAGAAATACGTGGAAGGACTAGCAACGATTGCGGAAAAAGCTGCAATAGAAGGGATTATGAAACAACTATATGACACAAGAAGATAGGATCGGTCATGCACAGACTAAATTGTGACTCAACGGATCATTGTAGAACATTCAATTGAGTGGAATGCGCCACTACGCATCAACTTCATTGACTATAAGAAAGCGTTCGACAGTGTGGACAAAAAAAATCATGGAAATTTCTTTGACACTACGGAGTTCCTGAGAAGATTGTCAAGATTATCCAAAACTCATACGACGGACTACTGTGCAAAGTCGTGCATGGCGGACAGATGACAGATGCATTTCCAGTAAGGACTGGAGTCAGTCAGGGCTGTGTACTCCCTCCCTTCCTCTTTCTTCTGGTGATTGACTGGATTATGAAGACTTAGACATCTGATGAGAAGCACGGAATACAATGGACATCTTAGAATCAATTAGACGATCTGAACTTCGCAGATGACCTAGCCCTCCTATCTTATACACACGAATAAATACAGACGAAGACAACCAATGTAGCAGCAGCCTCTGCATCAACAGGCCTCAACAGACACAAAGGAAAAAGCAAGATCCTCAAATACAACACGAAGAATGCCAACCCAATCACACTTGATGGAGAAACGCTGGAAGAGGTGGAGACATTCAAGTACCTGAGAAGCATCATTGATAATCAAGGAGGATCGGATGCAGATATAAAGACGAGGATTTGCAAAGCAAGGGCAGCATTTCTACAGTTGAAGAGCACATGGAACTAAAAACAACTGTCAAACAATATCAAAGTCACAATCTTCAATACGAACTTCAAGACAGTTAGTTCTACTGTACGGAGAAGAAGCATTGAGAACTACCACAACCATCGTCAAGAAGGTACAAGTATTTCTAAACAGTTGTTCACACAATATACTCAGTATCCGTTGACCGCATACCATGAGAAACAGCCTTCTGTGGGAGAGGACACACCAGCTTCCATCTGAAGGAGAAATTAGGAAGAAACGTTGGAAGTGGATCGGACATACATTACGGAAATCACCAAATTGCATCAGGAGGCAAGCCCTAACTTGGAATCCTAAAGGGAAGAGGAAGGCGATAGAACACATTAGAGGCAGATATGAAAAGGATGAATAACAACTGGAAAGTGTTACCCAGGACAGTGTTGGATGGAGAATACTGGTGTGCGACCTGTGCTACCCCACGAGGGATAACAGGCGTAAGTAAGTATATGACAACACGCAATCATCTAAAACCTAACCAAGTAAAAAATAGTTCTGCTTCATGTACGACAAAAGATAACCTGAATGAACTTGAAATCATCTCACAGAAAACTACAAAGACATCATGAAACCCTCCAGCCCCATCAAAGAAGGGCCGACGGAAAAGGTCCACGACATCAAATAATGAAGACACAAGGCGCAACCTAACTGCTCCACAGACCTTCCAGTAACGAGCATATTCTCCCCTCTGATGTCATGTGACCTGCCACTCAAATCTCCAATGGTCAATCTGGTGACAGACACAAGTGAGATTGACCTTTGAAAACGAAGACTGGTAGTAGTTATGAGTTCTGGTAACACCACTCATTCACCAAAGTCCAGAACTATTAATGAACGTAGTAACAACAGATTTCTCAACCCACACTCTATCTCTTTTTCACAGGATCACAACCGTAATCACCATCTGCCATCTATAGACAGTAGATCCTCCCCTGACACTAATCCAGACAGCTGCGACTCAGTCATCTAGCTTGGCTATCGGAATTACGCTGTAGACGTTGTGATGCTGCACGGTCATCCAGTACAAGATTTGTTTTGAGATACAGCCCCTTGTGGCGCCTCTGGACCTTGTCGTTTCAAACCATATACGAAATACAACCCCCTTTCTTCTATACAACTTCAATCAGACAGTATTCACACACCTCCCTCCTGCGTAAACGCCAAGCAGACTCACTTGATGTATCCCCTCCAGCCCTTGTTATCACCGAAACTGGCCATCAAAAAACAACCAATCTCACGCTTTAAACCTACATCATACTCCTGTGAGTTTAAAAGCTACTTTACTGGAGATATTCTCACCTACTTTAACTTAATAGGCTAGTCGTTTACTGTCCGCCTTATCAGTGCCCGATCGATCTGCAATAAGTAGCTAACTGCTGCATACCCAAGTGAGATGAGGTAAGATCCCTCCTAATCACTAGTAATCCCACTTACCTGTAAAAGCCAAGTAACCGAACCTTCTGACTAGTCCCCAAAAACATCATTTTCCGATTGTTCCTACCCTACTTCAACCACTCCGGAGTATCCTCGAAACTAGTAATCCTTATCCTTTCCAATGACTACCAAATCTCTTTACCAGAAACAATCAGTTAATTTTGAAGGACCGTCTCTTAAGGCTAACAACTTAAATACCGAACACAATAACTCTCCATACAATATGTTAACTGATGTTCTATACAATTTCATTATCTATTCACAAGTTCCTATTATTTTGTTTATTTCACGCTTTATCTGCAATAAGGTGGTCCATCTTAGATCTCTAGCCTATTTTGCCAATCCATGCTGCATTCTACTTATTGGAACCTGGGTGCACGCTTGATAACTCCAGTTTAACATTGTGCATTGCTAGTTACAAAATGTACCTTTAAAACCGAAATATATTTAAGGTTGGAAGTTGTATAATATAAGTGCAATCTGATATCTTGTCGAATTTAATCTTCTCAGAGGGTTGTGAACTACCAGATGTTATATTCGTCAACGTATAGAATTGTGCCCATCAGCGTTTTATAATCAATTGCATCTATAGGAAACCAAGAGCCTCTCATGCAATGGATACACATTTAAGTCAAGTATCCACATGCTTATCATCATTATATTAAGCTAAGTAAAAAGTTGGCGACTTCAATGTGCCATCTGTTAGTTGGAATTATTTGCGGTCCTCATTTCGAATAATTCTTTGAAGTACTAGAAAAGAAGAGGCAAATAACCTGAAAACCCACTAGAAAAGCTAGCCAACTGAACTTGATTTTCTGGCACAATGCCTCAACATATGCTGAATGCACTAGACTTGGATTTTGAGGTAGTGATCACAAAGTTGTAGCCTGTCAAACGTTTTCGTGAAGCGCTCTTGCACTTCTACTGAAAATGAAGTTCTTACAGATTCTATCAGAAACTTCGCAAACACCAACTGATCCTATAACGTAATTCTACCACGTGGTCTTAGTCGGTATAGTTTTCCATCCATTGACGCTAATATTACACTAGTTTTCTTCATTCTAATCTAAAAAATTGTCTGTACTTAAGCTCGTCAATTAAAATGAAAGGACTGTATGTTCGTTATTGTGACTATATTCCTATCAAATTCAAATCTGAACTAAGAAAGCTGCGGTAGATTTTCATTGTTCAAGATGATTTTTCAGGCTTTCTCAAAATACAACTGGCATTTATGAACATCAAAGACCTTCATCAAACAAAGTAATTAGAAGCTGTATGACAGTTTTCCAACATACAAAATCATAATGGTTTTTTAACAAATAATCTAGAAAAGAAACTTTGTGTCTAATATTATATTCCTGATATCCTAAAGGTCAATGATGAACATATAAGAGAACCAACAGAACTATGTGAGCTCTTTAATAACATATTTGCTTAAGCACTAACTAGACGCAAAATGAATGAATTTGTAGCCAGTAGTTCCAAAATAAATACAGGAGTAAACCTAAAATTTACGTCGAGTATTGTGAGAACTGCGAGATATCACTAAAACCTTTCGAAAATGATTATAACGGAAAACCTAATTAAACCAAATAAGGTGGTTCAGATATTCCTGCCCTGTTTGCTAAAATGTTTAATCTGTCCTTCTGTTCAGGTGCTTACCCTTGACAACGGAAAACCAAGTACACTACCCTCCATTTTAAAAAGGAGTTAGGCCGGACGCAAAAAATTATTGTTCGATTAGTCACACTTCCATCTCGTCAAAAACTATTAAAAATTATTGAGGCAATGTGAAATTATCTAGATAAGGATCAATTTACCATATTTCTGCCACATGAATTCATTTCCAAGGAGTCATGCGTAATCTACCATCTAGAATAAGTTGGTAATACAACAAACAATAATAATAATATATTTCTGCAATAGCAGGGATGAGGGGAAACTGGATGTCACCCTGTACGTTAATTTTATTAAAGAGTTTGACGAAGTACAACGCTCGTCTCTGCCATCTATATTCGAGACATCCGATATAATAGGTAAGATGTATGACCGAATTTCATCCTTCTTAAGCGACTAAACTCAGGTGATGAAAATAAAGCAACACATCTCTTACTCTTAAGACAATACCAATGACGTCTTCGACGGATAAGTCATCGAGCTCCTATTGTTCATCATGTAAGTTAAGGACATATCCAATAGCAATACACCTGGCAAAACCTTTATATTTGCTAGCAAACCTAAAGTAACATGTGCACTCCGCTGAAGTCTCAGTCTGCATATAAGCCGTATAGTACAGGAAGATCTGGTATGACGTATGATTCCTCCCTCTTAATACCAGAAAATCTGGGCACATGAATTTTGGCACATATAACCTACAGACAAGCTTGAATTTGAACAATTTGTCATTTAGGAAACTAAGTAGCACCACCAATTCGGGAGTGAGACATTCCGAAAGTTTTTCATCCGCTGAACTAGCTACATCTCAAGTCTCTAAAGCCATTAGACTTATTGGGTTTACTAATCGTGAGTTCTAACTGAAAAGATCCGAAATAATTATATATAAGTTATTTAATCAACCCCTACAAGAGTATTGCTGAATCATATCCATTTTCATACGCTTTCTAGACTGACAGAAAATCAAGAAATTACAACGCGCTTTACTGTACTTCTTACTTTTTACCTACCTCAGAAAATTTACGTGAAGCAAGGAAACTGAATCCCTTATGGTTAAGATGAATTAAACTTAGCCCTTTCTTACATTTCAAAACCCTACTTAGCAAAACCACAGTAGATTGTAGGAAGTATTAATTACAGCCCTTGAAATCAGGACATTTTTAAACATCTCGAGAATATCAACCAAATCCGTTGAAACAGAAAAACATTGTGGGTAGGTTCAGTAGGTTAGAAGGCCTATTAGGAGGAATAACATACTTGGCCTATTGTTGAATTGGTTCCACTTCCTACCGAGTAATCCTATTACTGGCAAGCTAGACCGTTGGATATAAACCAAGCCCACTCCATACCCTATAAAATCTAAAAACAAATAGAGTTCAAATAGCTTCGAAAAAAGGGAGACAGTCATTTGTATCGAAATACTGTCTTCAGCACTTTATTTTATAATTATACATAATTCCATACTTCTTTCTGAACTACCTTCATTCATACAGTTCCTTATCCACTCATACCTTGTTCACACTTATTTTTCTTTAACACACAAGTATGCTCTTGCCTAATAAGTACCTCAGTAACAGACAAATATACTAAATGGTTACACTTTAACTATTCCTCCATGAATATTGTGTGCTCTGCTTTTCGTCCTTCCTTTTTCTTACACCTTTTTCGGCCCTCTGGAGATACCTCACCTAAAACAGATATGGCACAGGTGACTTCGTCCTACACCGTCATTAAAGCCTTAGATATTCCGGAGGGATATAAGATCGAAGCTTCTAAAAGCCCCCAACTTCACATGCATCAATTTTCAACCATCAGCTGTATGTTACAACGCTACCCTCATAAAGTGCGCCAAGTGTGATATTGATATGTTTCTTACGAAATCCATTTACATTCATATCTTATAAAATATCAACCCAACTGAATAATTTTCTACAGTGAAAATTGTGACTTCTGTAACAATTTGATCTTGCCTGTAAACCGGCATGCCTCATATAGCAAACTGTTATTTGAGAATAAATTATTATTATTATCATTATTAAAATAAGCTCCGACACATTGCAGTGCACGTTTGTCATGAATTTTAATAAGGAACCACAGAGTCATCTTGAGCATACTTCATTCTTAAAACTACAACAGAGAACCAGAGTAGGCTGCTTAGTCACTAGACATGGGAGCTCACTGAAACGGTTATCTATTGCTTACCATGGAAATCATAGCTCACAATAAATAAAACTGATATTGCACCTCTCAAATCATATCTTAATTAGATGCATTGCCTTGACTAAACAGCTCCAAATATCGAACACGCCACTTAAAACGTCAATAGGAGCCGAGATACTTCCATACTATAAGCTCCAAGACTTTTATGATCTTCAGGACATAATTAACTCAATTTACAGAAATGATTCATCACGATGCAAGTATCTTTTGTCTACAGAGAATAAATCTCTGGGTAAAAACCAAGAGTTGTCAATACTTTAGCTGTTCAAATCAAGCGTGGAAACATTTCCTATTAATCCAGCCATATTCTTTGTAATTAACCGCAATATTGTAGATGACCTTAAAACTGACTATGAACAATCCAACAACTATTTCTTGAGATGATACAGTACAAAAGCAGAAACCTCTATCAATACTCTTCCAATTTTGTTGTCTGAGCATCTGTCTACAATTAATTTGACGTCCACTGATATCAAGTAAGCTATAATTGCACTGAATGTTTCTAACTCTACTTGCCCACAAGTATCATTTCTTACTCTTCGAAATCCACAATATCAGATCACAGCCTGTGGAATAAGAAAGATATTCTATCAACTTCGGGAACCTACACAAATAAACGTCCCAATTTCTTCGTTATTCAATATTCAAAAATGTGGAACAGACTATCAGATAACTTCTGTAGCAGTAAAACTATAACCCACTTTAATAGTCTCATTAGTGACTTTTTCTCCGGAAACAGTTCTTTTCAACTATTGAATGTCAATGTGATTACTACGATTTATACAAACGAATTTCGGTACCTATCAAATTGACTGACTTTTCTATGACAATATCTAAATTGTAGTTATGTTCGTAGATATTGTTGCCATTATCATGATTGATCTCTCGACAGACTAAGATTTTTTCATTATGGTTGATTCTGTGATACACTCAGCATTCTTCCTCTCTCGTTTTCCTTCTATATGAATTTCATACTTATTCATCCAAAGTTTCCGAATAAAAAAGTACACCTTTCGTTACACCGACTGAAATAAGTTGACCAAACAAATTCATGTTATCTTCACCATGTATACTTGACCCTTATAAACTAATATTTGACTGCCATTCTGAGCAGTTGGTCAAGACTTTCATCGCACTATGAAAAAAGCCATTGATGAATGAACGAAGTATTTTTTCGTAACGCTTATGTACTAATGAGCGTTTTGTGAATAGTAGTTGTGTAACGGAGTTGAAATTGCTATGTATGATATACTAATGCATTCTATTTTCTTTCTGTTGCAGGGCGACTAAACATAAACTCTTTGGAGGAAGAAGAACAAGCTCTATGTACACTAACCTTACAGGATGACTCATAAGACTACTTTGTAAACTGACTCTTCCCGCTGTACCCTCGCGCACCGCGCTTTTTGATTTTGAAATAAAGAGGCTTGTGATTCCCACTGTGTTCTCTCTTGGTGTGAAGTCCTCGTTTAACATTGTGTGCTGTGCTGTTTTTCAGATCTGTACCGCTGTTCTCTAACTGCTGATTCCACGTGTTACAAGTGGTGATGGAGGTGTTCACTAAAAAACGCGATGAAAACCTGAACGAACCGCCGGTGATTCCAGTCAAGCCAACTACTGGCTCAGCTCCCCGTCAACCGCCACTCCTGGAAAACTCGTCAGACTATACAGTGTGGAAGTTCAAAGTTGTAGCATATCTTCGTAAAGTTCCAGCTTCGGAACAATTCGATTATCTGGTGTCCTACCTCAGTGACGAAGCTACCAAAAGAGCTATAGTTAACGGGTTTGCGGCGGACAATACTCTCGCTCAGAACTGGAAGATTCTCGATGATTGTTTTTCGACGCCGGTGGATCCCCAACAAGCAGCCATCCGATTTTTGTCACGACATCAAACACTCGGCGAGAATCCAATGGATTATTTTAATTCTTTGCAACAGATGGCTGTGCAAGCGTTTCCTTGTTTTGATGCCACTGGAAGAGATGAATTGATCAAGTCTCGGTTCGTGGAAGGGTTACTATCCAGTTCCTTGAAGGAACACTGCCTACTAAACCCCCCAACAGACATAAATTCCTTAAAAAGAGTTACATTCCGGTTCATGGCAGCCGAGCAGCTTAAAAGCCCACTTGACATGCACCAGCCAACTGCGATGGCAGTAATGCAGCCCACAAAAGCGAGTCGCCCACTGAACCCTCAACGCATATCTAACGTTACCCGGTCTTCCCACTGGAACAGCAGTCGAAGACAGTTCAATCCCACTGAGAAGAAGTGGAGACCAACGAATAGTTATCATGGTCGTCAATCCGAATGCCCGTACTGTCGAAGGTTTGGCAAAAACGCAAAGAAATGTGGTCATAATCGTTTTGGTAACACAAGTAAGCCGTACATTTTCCATTTATCTTCTTATGCTAACCATGTGCGTCCCATCACCATTAAGGCTAGAGTACAGGGTATCGATATCGAAGTTTTATTAGACACCGGAGCGTCAGTATCCCTAATTAAGAGCGAGTTTTTATGAAGGTTTAATCGTAAAGTCCAACAGACGCGACACCCATCCACATTACTCACAGCTAGCGGAGACCCATTGAAAGTGAACTCTAAGGTATGGTTGGACCTAATGATAGATAGACATTCGTTCCGTCATGGGTTTTTAGTTTGTCCGACTTTGACTTGGGATATGATACTCGGAGTCGACTTCATGTTAGAACATAAAGCTTGTATATTTATGGACAGCTTGGAAGCTAAATTTGGAGAGACTAAAATACGCTTGCACCATACTAACACGCCATTTAAAGTTGTGTCATATGTGGGAATCTCAGACCTGGTGCGACAAGTAAACGACAACCGAACACTAAAAGAGAAAGATCGACATGCAACGATTGCCGTGCTTCAACAGTTTAGTTCGGTATTCGAAGAGAGTATTTCCGGCAATCGCACGAGTACGGTGCAACACACCATTTGCACGGGGGACCACAGACCACTTAGGCAACCGCCTCGTAGAGTGCCAGTACACTATCAACCACAACTGGATACGATGATAAAGGATATGCTTGACAAGAATATTATAGTACCGTCATCATCCCCCTGGGCATCACCTATCGTCCTGGTTAAAAAGAAAGATTCCTCTTTGCGTCTTTGCATAGACTATCGACGCCTTAACGCTATAACTAAGCGTGACTCTTTTCCTCTTCCGAGAATCGATGCTATATTAGACGCTTTGAGTGGCGCATGTTGGTTTTCAACGTTAGACCTAGCATCAGGGTACTGGCAAGTGGAAGTCAGACCACAAGATAGAAGGAAAACCGCATTTGTAGTGCCCAATGGGTTGTACGAATTCCAAGTAATGCCTTTCGGTCTAACGAATGCCCCAGCTACCTTCCAAAGATTAATGCAAACAGTTTTACAAGATATAGTACCTCATAAATGTTTGATTTATCTCGATGACATTATTGTGTATGGTAGCACACCCGAGCAACATAATGCTAATCTGAAAGCAGTTCTCCATCGCCTTCAACAACACAACCTAAAAGTAAAACCGTCCAAATGCCGTCTGCTGCAGAAAGAAGTAGTTTTCTTAGGACATCGTATCACTGCAGATGGAGTAGGCACCGATAAAGAAAAGACACGTGTCATTGTTAATTGGCCACAGCCCAAATCACCTGAAGACGTTCGTAGCTTTCTTGGCCTAGCTTCTTACTACAGACGCTTTGTCCGTGATTTTGCATCGTTAGCAGCACCCTTACACCGTTTGACGCACAAAGGACGAAAATTTTTATGGACTACAGAATGTCAACAGGCGTTCGATGTTTTGAAGACACGACTGAGCTCTCCACCTATATTAGCCGTTCCGGATACCTCAGTAAGCGGGGGAGAATTTATACTTGATACGGACGCCAGTTCCTCCGCTGTTGGAGCAGTCCTATCACAAGTGGCCCCAGATGGGCAAGAAAGAGTCATTGCGTACGCTAGCCGTCGACTGGATAAGAGCGAAACAAGATATTCGACAACGCGTCGAGAGATGTTAGCATTAGTAAAATTCTTACAACACTTCCGCCATTATTTACTAGGTAAACCTTTCCGTGTACGCACAGACCACCGTGCATTACAATGGCTCCGCTCCTTCCGCGAACCAGAGGGGCAAGTGGCACGCTGGCAAGAACGATTACAAGAGTTCGATTTCACGTGCGAGTACCGACCTGGAAGCCGACATACAAACGCAGACGCTCTTTCCCGCATACCTCAAACCGCAGGTACTGTTAATTCAGTTCTTAGCACAGCCGTAGAGATCGATTGGCCTTCCCTGCAAGCAGCAGACCCAGACATGCAGATTATATATCAAAGACAGTTGCAGGGAAACCATAAACCATCCATGAAAGAGTTAAAGGATCAATCATTAACAACTCGCCGTATTTGCACTAAATGGAGTAATCTAAAATTATATGGTGACACGTTGTTCTTAATTAACGAAGCGAGACAACCTCTATTGGTAGTACCACGGATAAAAGTCGAGAGCATTGTGGAGCAGGTGCACCGCGAACTAGGTCATGCAGGAGAACGAAGAACGGAATACGCGGTCCGCCAGCGCTTTTGGTGGCCATCCATGCATGAAGATGTAGTGCAAATTTGCAAAAATTGTAACACGTGCTACCGTTTCAAATCGCCTCGACAGACATCTCGTGCACCGTTAACTCCCATGGTGACCACAGGACCACATCAGCGGGTGGGCATAGATATTATGGGACCATTAACAACAACAAAGAAAGGGAATCGCTACATACTGGTTATGGTAAATTACTTTACTAAATGGTGCGAAGCAGTACCCCTTCCCCAGCAAGACGCTCTTACGGTCGCCCGAGCTTTCATCGATCATTGGGTTTCCCGTTATGGCGCTCCCTTCTCACTTCATTCTGATCAAGGTCCAGCCTTTGAAAGTCGCCTCATCGCCGAGATATGCCAGCTTTTGGGAATCAGGAAGACACGAACCACTGCGTATCACCCAGAAGGTAACGGGCTTGTAGAAAGAACAAACAGAAGTATTAAAGCCATATTGCAAGCGTTTGTGAGCACATCGTCGCAGGAGTTATGTGACGATGACCTTCTTAAGTGTCTTTTAGCATATCGTACATCCGTACATGGCTCCACCGGGTTTTCACCCGCTATTTTATTATTTGGACATGAATTACGTCTACCAGTGGAAATACAGACGCCCCTGCTGCCCTGCGAAGAACAAGAGCATGTACCGTACATACGTACTCTCCGTAACCGCTTGGCTGATGCATACCGCTTGGTGAGCAGCAATTTGCGCAAAGCTAGTGAACATCAAAAGGACTTGTACGATCGTCGGGTGCACGGACCAGTGTATAAGGTCGGTGATCGCGTTTGGCTACGTCGCCCCATGGCATCGTCAGGGAGTTGCAGTAAATTTCACCAGCCATGGCAAGGCCCCTTTGAAATCGTCCTCATCCGATCCCCCACTACGTTCGTATTACGTAACTTGCAACGACCCCAGGATGACGTGATGACTGTACACTATAACCAAATAAAACCAGATAAGATGACAGTCTCCTCGGATACTCAGTTCGCCAATCCACCGCCTGCCACTACGTTTTATGAGGTACCATCAGAAGGAGGGACAGCATATCCATGTCCGAGACCAGGCACTGAGGACAGTGCCTATTTAAGAGAGGGGGCGGTGTAACGGAGTTGAAATTGCTATGTATGATATACTAATGCATTCTATTTTCTTTCTGTTGCAGGGCGACTAAACATAAACTCTTTGGAGGAAGAAGAACAAGCCCTATGTACACTAACCTTACAGGATGACTCATAAGACTACTTTGTAAACTGACTCTTCCCGCTGTACCCTCGCGCACCGCGCTTTTTGATTTTGAAATAAAGAGGCTTGTGATTCCCACTGCGTTCTCTCTTGGTGTGAAGTCCTCGTTTAACATTGTGTGCTGTGCTGTTTTTCAGATCTGTACTGCTGTTCTCTAACTGCTGATTCCACGTGTTACAGTTGTAATAATGCTCTGTCTGTCTGTTTCGCTGTCCTTGAATCTTAGTGATTGGTTTGCCTTATTTGTTCTTGACTGGTCAGTATAGTTTGTCATTTTTTCACCTTGTTTCTTCAGTGCATCATATAGTTGTCTGACATTTCCTTCTGTTGCAGCTTTTTCACTGTCATCGCTAGGCCTTCTACTTATTTCCGCTTGTCGGCTCCAAAGATCCTTATCACTTGCTTGTTTGGTTCTAGGTAATCGGCCTGTGCCTTGGCCCTCTCCACCCTTGTTCGGCTTTTGTTACTTGTTATCTTCTTGTTCCATACTTCTTGGATCCCGTCACAGGTGTCAGTGAGATCCACATTCTATGCTAAGGTTTCGTTCGGCCCACCACATTCTAACATGTTGAAGTCAATGGTTCTTCACTCTATTTCCAGTTTTTGTCCGTAGTGGTTCCTTCTTCGACTGAATTTCGTCAGGCTTAGGACTTGTTGCTTGAATGTATCATTAATTCGCTGCGTTTGTCGGTATCTCAAAGAAAGGCAGCACCAAACGTTTGTAATTCTGTTTGCCCAGTTGTCCGGCATTTTTTAGCATCACTTTCGTCTTGAACACATCAGATGGTGGTTTGAAGCGATGCCAGCTCCTCTCTTTGTTCTAACGTCATAGGTGGGTCTTTAGAATTTTTCCATCATTTCAGATGTGGCCTTTCAAACACTCTTTGATGTGGTCCAGTGGCTCTTCGTATTCATTCGTAGGGACAATATATTTCCATCTATAACCATTTTGTGGAATGCACATAAATGCCTAGATCTCTTATCATTCTTGTTCATTTCTACCTATCCATGTCGTCCTATGATACTTGCATAACCTGCGTCTTCCATTCCGACTTTGGAGTTTAGGTCTCATCAGGACTGTCAAGTCTTTTTCTAGGCAATTCTCTACAGTTGACTACAGCCTCGTAAAACATGTCCTCATTGTCTTCAGCGCTATCATTAGTTAGCGCATAACACTGAATAACATTTATTGTGATCCCCCTCTTCTTTGTTTCGAAAGATGCTTCGATAATCCTGGATCCATGAGTCTTTCATCATGTTGGTGTTTTTGGTGCCCTTTTCGAGAGCTTCAGTGTAACACTTTATGAGTTTGAGGTATTTTCGTGCCTAGGATACAACGAAAGTACTCTCAAAGCTAGTCTCTCCTACTCAGCTTTTGTCCAGTGGGTTTCAACTATTCCGAGCACCATCAGGTTGTAGTTTCTTATTTATTTTGGTCAATCTGGTGGTTCTCTTTGATTACCACTTTATTCGGACATTCTCTGTATTTATATTAACTCTGATTGTCAGAAATGGAATCGGCCTCGTGACCATGGGGTGTCATAGCTCTTCTAAGTGGGTACCCGTCAGCCCTCAGAGCAGAGCCTAAGTGGTGCAAGTGATTTTTGCTAGTTTGCACCATTTTTGGCATGGTTTTTTCATGCGGGGTGGGGTTGCTGACCACATTCCCAGCTCTACCTCTTTACCCTGGCTAGGAACCGGCAGTAAAACTAGATGTGCTTCAAGGGGAATTCGATTTATAATATTAAATCTAAGTTATTGAATCTATTCCAGATGGATCAATATCTTATTTTCCTCTGTCATATGGCGACTTATTTTGTCTGACAGATAATTATTTACATTGGTGACTTATTGTTATAAAGCTGACTGCTTATTTTTGGAGCCATTTAATTTTCTGTATTTATCCCTGTCAAAGGGAACAATGTTCCTGGGCTGATGAAAATACCTTTCTTTCACTGTCAAATAGTTACTTTATGTTCTTAGGGCTTCAACGGCCTAATATCAAACAGTTGAATATATATGACATCTTACTGTTATTGGTGACTTTACATAATAGAAGAAATATTGTTTAAGCGTATTTCATCTTTCGTACACAAATTTGATTGTTTCGTACCAGACGCTTGCGCCATTCGGTACAATTTTCCCATTTTACTGATCACTGTCAACATTTTTGTGTTTGAACTAAGTCACCACACTAAAATCTCCGGTTCTATCGTATTGATATTACTGAAAATTTCGAGCTTCCAACTTCCCTTCTACATATGAGCTAACGAATCCTGTGAAAATTTAGGATTTATAAAGCATCAAATACATTATAGGGGCCTACGAATCTCGTAAACACTATCCTACTGTTCCTTTTTTCCAATCACCTCCAATTACTAGAATCATGAATATGTTTCATGGCTTACGTATCATGTTTTGTAACATTTTATAAATTAAGGTAAAATTTTTATGTTAAATTAAACTCAAATAGTGTATTTTAAGGTTGTGGTTAGGAAAGTGGGCCGGACGAACGTTGTTTCTGCGTTATCGTATTTATTGTATATTGAAGCGAAACAGAAAATCAAAGGGTATGTCGCGAAACTGTGAATTTCGGTATACGTTCGCTTACTCTTATGATATATACCATGTTTTATACTATCTTACACTGGCGTTAGGGGGATGATACCTATTCCAAAAGTATGAGTCAGGTTAGAATCGGATTATATAGTAATCTTAAAATCATGTATCAGATGACTGATATGCGAGAAACTCAAACAAAAACCTTGTGTAACTTCAATTAGTACTTACACAACCAGCCGATGAGCAAACATATTTACAATCCTTATATCAATCTATGAGCTGGAAATGTGACAGTAAGTGTGGAAAAAATTTTAAATAATGTATTTAACCGCTTTCAGTAATGATACTCGCCTTGTACTATATGTTTCGCAGCTTGGAGATAAGCCTGAAAGGTGAAGTCAACTTCTTTCAGTAACTTACGAAACTGGAACATAGAATGTGTGAGCAACAACTTAATTACTTGGTCAAGCCTGTTACTATTCATAAGGTATAGGATTGTTAAAAGAAACCCTCAACTTACCTCACCCAAGGCTGTCCCTTTCACTCGTTCCCAAGTACTATTCATACATTTGAAAAGTACTTCCAACTTCAAGAACCACCTATTTTTCGACCTAACTTTTCTACCTTTACCCATGAGGGTTCCAAATTAGAGTGTGTTTTGTGGTGCATTCTGATGAGTTCAGAAATGTGTACCCTATCCACCCACGGAGTCTTTTCTTAATTTTCTCCTTGGCTCTAAACTATTTAATATTCTGCCGTACTAGCTTGTCACTAGTGGTCTGTGGTCAACAGATCTAAAGTATCTTAGATAGAAAGTTTTTCGTAAATACTCATGCTGTTTTGATGATGATAGTTCTCCATCTCTCACTACCATACAAGACTGTTTAGACGTTTGTTCCGGAAATTCTGGCCCTGGTGTGTTATCAACAATACATGTTATAATAGTTGCTTGAGAAGCTTATGGCATTTAAATCCTCGCGGATTAGTAACGAAAAATGTGTTTTGTGGCCACATTTGATTTTCCTTACTCAAACGGTGAACTTGACATGCTTATCACTGTAACACTGAACGTCTGGTTTCATTCTTTTGCTTCAGTTTGTCGCTTAGTTTCTTCACTTTGGTAGACATAAGCATCGAATATTTGTCAGGAATTTTATTCCCGTAATTGTGATGGATAACAATATCTTAATAAATCTGAGACTGTCTACATAAACTTCCCATTCATCTCCTAAAATCACTCGATTTTGGAAATTGACTGACTCATGATTGCGAACCCACCAACTATTTGTCATACAATAATAATAATAATAAATTTCTGCAATAGCAGGTACACGCCATTTTTACAGGCATGATCTACAATTTACAACATATACTGGTTCACAGTATGCATCCCAAGCAAGGTTGTTTAGTAATTATAATCTATAAAAGTTGATAGCAGTTCATTCGTTCAGATATAATGTGTTTTCATAAGAATAGTTTCCAAAGGGGCATAGCGTCCACGTTACATACCAGATCCAATCTCGACAAAAAGTGTAATAGGGTTTCGGTTGTGCTAAGTATTTATGTAATGCAGCTTTTTGAGTTTATTGTTGTAATAAAGTAGGCTTGTGGAGTGCCTGGTTCGAGCTATGACCTTGGGAAAGCGCGTTCGTCGAGCTTGTTCCAGACGTCCGAAGTTACATAGCTTCACCCTCAGAGCAAGATTCTAAAGAAAAAAAAGAGAGAAACCGAGGAGCAGCAAGGCATTTGGATATGAACGATAACCAATGCTTAACATTTATTAGTGGAACAGATGGAGGTATGAAAAATTATTAGATTAAATTGATACTAGCTCACGTTGCAATAGTGACTTGCAATTAGGGGCTCCAGAGAAGAGAAGACAGTAATAAAGAACAATGAGTTGTGATATTTATCAAGGTGGAGTAGGTTCCAACGAAGGAGGGAAGTCAAGGTTGGAATGAGGAAGAACAGAGAGTGCATATAGAGAGTAGAGTGTTGAGTAAAATAGCAACCATATCCTTTACAGTCAGTTTGTTTTTGTTTTTTTTCATCATCCGATGCCTGCCACACAGTTTTCATGTAAAAGTCCGAGTTAGCATGTTAAAGGTTGTCTGAGTAGAATAGTTAATCCAGCACAAAAATTAGAAACATGAGTCTGAATGGTGAGTGTAGGAGAACAATCTCAATATCACAGATCTATTGACTTGTTCCATCCATCATCTCCAAATCCGTAGATTTTAATTTAACAATAACTCTGACTTTCTTCGCTGAAAAATAGTAATTGATAATGCCATCTTTGTTTCTGGTTTTACTCCGAGGGCACGAATCTAGTAATTACAGTGTGGAAACATGAGCCAATAATAAATCCATCGGCTTGTTGAAACCCTTATCACGGGCTTCAAATGATTTCGAAACTTTAGTTACCTTAAAAAACAACCGCAACCACTCGTTATAAAACAGCCATAAAATAACTCACTTTGAACACTTACACTGGTGGCGTTTTGGTTTAAAAAA